TGAAAACTTACCTTTGTGCCTCGAGCCGCTTTCTGTGAGTTTGGGTCCCCATTGTTTCGATGTTGGCTGCCTGGAGTCTCTCATCCTCATCCTTCAACCTGTACAACAAGAATGAACATTACGGGCTTCACGTTCCATCTCTGGTCCCACCTGTCACTCTCATTTGCACATTTACCTCCTGGGGTTCTGCCTCTGTCGTCCAGAACCTGGAATCTTCTATGCATCCTCCTCCGAGCCTGAAACAGAAAACATCGCATAGTAAGAGTATTCTCCTTCTGCCTCTAATCAAGAGATCTTTCCATGATAACCTGTTACTTATTTTATCTACCTCTTTGCAGATCCTTCCAGTCCCTACATCCCTCTGCCTTTGTAAATCTTTCAGAGAGTCTTTTCAATCTTTTTGGTTCTTGGAACACCAAACTCTGTAAATATATATATATATATATATATATATGTTGTAAGTAAACAAAACTGAGCAAATGGGATTAATACAGGACATTTTCATAAATGATACGGGGATTAATTCATGAATGAAAGAGATTATTTATTAGGTCTGATGCATCCAGGTGGAGGGTTTTTGTCTTGTTTATGAGGATTATTGTGCAAATAAAACTTTAATGGGTTGTGTGAGACGTGCATCAACCAGACTTCAGCGTACAAAGTGTTTGTTTTTCTCAAATGACTGATTTGTATTGAACACGCTTACATCTCCTTTAGTGAATAAGTGGTTTTGTTTTTAATAAGCAAAAGTTGCAAGATATTAATTGATGTGAAACCATGACGACTTGTTTTTCTTCTTGGGGTTGTTCAAAGCTTTTGGTTGATACCTGCGTCAAATTGAGTAAAACCTTTGAAATAATTTGTTTTTGCACATTCAAATTTCTCTTCACGTATTTTCATTCAGTAAACTGTATTTTCTTCTTTAAGGACCCATATCAATATATCATTTATTTCAACAGTGTCTATTTAGTGTTGAATTAAACTACAATGTTAAAAATTGACATTTGATATTACTGAACTGGACTGTAATGGTTTGAACTGATTTGGTGTGTATCAAATTAGATTTAGATTAAATTAGAGTAATTGCATTTCCTGCTAAAATAGGGGGTAAACACAGAGCTGAATGACTGATGAAATTAGAAACAAAACACTAGTTAAATGAGGCAAAATAGTAGCTAAAAGTAGCAAAACATTAAGTAATGGTAGTAAAAGTTTAGCACAAAACCAAATGGAGCAAAGACGAATAATTTAAGTTTATAAAATTCAAATGGCTTGGCTCCTTTTTTTTTTCTTTTTTTTTAAGTTAAATCAGTTGCAAATTAAGCTACAAGAGAAGCTTCCAGGAGACGTACAAGTCCGTTCAGAGACAGTTTTGTCTTTTAAAGCCTCACATCAGCAGATGTTTTTCTTCAGTCTTCATCCTCATTCAATGAAGTATAAAAAGTTGAATGACGGATAATCAAAACTAAACTAGCCTGTTTTTAATTGGCAGTGTTTGTTTTTAAGGTTTAAATTAAAGTTGAAACAAATTACCAAATTTTTCACCTGAGATATAAAATAGTGATTTTTTTTTTCTACATAATAACTGAAGTTTTTTTTTGTTTTATCTGTAAAGTTTTTCTCAGAACTGTGAGTGGTTTTGTATTTGGGTTCTGTGAACTGTGAGTGTGTGGTGGAGCTTTTCCACCTTTAAGATCTCTGCTTCTGCGCTGGCCTTTCCCTCGTAACTAACATCATGATATCGATCATTTCAAAACGAATAATAATTTTATGAAGCTATAATTAAGATATTTATCGTTCGCCAATGGAAGGCAACAAAGAAGCAGTCATGTTTGTTCACAAGTGTATGTTTTCTTCTAATATGTGTGACGGAGACAAAATGTCTGCACACAAATGTTTTAGCATGTTCTTGGCCAACCTCAAAGCTCTGTGGCACAAAGAACCAAATTATGTAAAAATTTAAATACAGTACAAGCTGTTGGGATTCAGTTTATTTCAGATATAACTTATTCATCCTCAGGAGGAAATTGGTCCATTCCTACACTTAATAGGTAGAATAAACGACTAAAATAAATACTTAAAATGAACTTAGAGTCAGAACTCAATGCACTAGTTGAAAAGACAGGGGAGGAAGGGAAGATAATTCTGGTTAACTCATCAATAACAGCTCAGAGTGGATGTTATTTGGAACATTTGAAAAAGATAAACTGGTATCACGGTCCAGTCGTACAACCTGATGGTCGCAGGCAGAGATGGTTTCCTGCGGCGTTCAGCACAGTGCATTGAGATCGAGTCACTTTGTTCCTGGATGTGCTTTTACATGCCGTGCACAGTGTGTAATTTATTGTGCAACAACACTGGTTTTAGTTTCTGCAGCATTCTCCTTCCAACCCTGCTGGTGCCTGATGGAGTGGAATGACCTCCTGCCCCCAGCAGGTCACTGCTCCGACCACCAGCGTCTCCAGTATTGACTCATTTTGTTAAACAGCACACTTTATATATTTTCTTTGTTTTGATTATGTCTTATGGAGTTCACCTGTGAGCCAACAACTTCCCTTTACCTGTTACAGAAAGCTACTGGTTTTCTGTGTGCACTGAAAATAGGTGCAGGGCTGTGGTGTCAAAGCAGTGACTTCAGAAAACCTCCATCTAAAATAGCTGGTTTAAAGTTTATATTCAGCTGTGCAAAAGTTCTAAATCAATCCTTTTTTTTTTTTTTTTTACGGGACCAAACTTTCTGTTATACTTTTAAGTTGCTCTTGATCAGTCATAAATAAAGGCTGAGTGGATGAAAAATCATCTAAGCTTTCTGAAGTTTTTTTATTTTATTTTATTTGAACTTTTGTCCCTTTTCACTCAGTTTTATTCCAGTTCTTGTGCCTGATCATTTAGTAGATGGGGTGTCCTTGAGAAGAAGCTGACTTCAGACTTAAAAACAACTCTCTGACTGCAGCAGATGAACAGTTTCTGAAAGTCAAGTCTTTTTAAAAGACAACAAAATCCTCTATACACCTGGCACAGATGCATCATCTTTAAGTGATCACCTGCTAACAAGTTGTCAGGTAATAACTCTTTGAATCATTTTATTTGTGTCTTTGAGACAACAGACTGTTGTGTGTTAGGTGTCATCACAACGGTGCACCCCTTTAGGAGCCCTTTAGACCACATTTCAGTGGCTTAACAAACTAAATTGTTCCAGTGAAAATGGTCAGCTAGCTGCAAGATCTGAAATTGGGTGGAAAACATTGACAGCATCCAGATAAAATATTCATTTTTAAATATTGGTTGACTTCACATTTGAAAAGAAAAGTAAGGATCGAAGATGGTTTTGGAGTCTCACCACTCTCCCTTGTGGCCTTCAGTCGTAACGTCACTTCAAACACTTTTGCTTCATGTTTCAAGTTCAGTGGGTTTGATTTCAACTCCTCTCCAACCGTTTTAAGAGTATTTTACACGTTTTATGGCTTACCTTCCAAAAATGTAGGACAAGCAACTTTATGCTAAATTTGTCTCTTTTTTTTTTCCAAAAGAGTTTTATAATTTTTTATATATAATTGTACAGTATTTTTTTATTTTTACATTTCTTATGCAAGAACCTCAATTAACATGACTTTGAAACAACTTGACTCACTGTGTAAATCTCATAATCCAGCCCGTCATAAATGATGAGCACAGAGAGGGAGCATGCTGTCCAAGCATTTTATCAAAGTTTGAAACGTGCATTTAGCTATGGTGGCCTTTTTAATCAGATTTTCTTTAGGCTGCTCCCTTTTTTCAGGGGTCGCCCTTGCACAAAGACGTGGCAATTATTTTTACGCCGGATACCCTTCCTTATGCAACCACAGACCACCGAGCTACCACAGCCCTGTGTGTGGAGCAGAGGGTTGTCATGTAGGGCGCCAGAGGGAGCATATGGTGGGGAGCCTTGCTCAAGGGCCCAGAGTGGAGCAAGTGAGGGTCATTAATCAGTTGATTTGAAGATTTGAAGCTCTCGACCTTGATCTCCCTAAGTGGCTTTAAGAATCTGTTGAACTCCTGGCAGGGACCAATACAGACATGTTCCTGTTTTTAGTTTTCTACATTCGCCTTAGAATCTAGCTGTTTATTGTTACTTTTCTTTTTTTAGCCATCTTATTCGTTAAAAAAAAAAAAACAAAAAAAAACTGCATGCCTTTTTATAACTGTCTATTGTTGTCGCGGTTGTCCATTGTTGTCATCATACTTTGTTGAAATCAGGTCTCTCTTGTATATGAGTTCTCGAGGTTCAATGGGATTTACCTGTCTAAATAAAGGTTGAAAGGAAAGTTATAGGCCTGGGAGTTTTATTACACTCTGTCCAGTGGTTCATGTGATATTATAGAAAAAAATGGGATTGACTGCAACCCTTAATGCTAAACTTTTAATTAAAACTATTGTGCAAAGAACGTCACCTAGCAACAACCACACCAAATCTTAGCTCAACGTTTGTACAGTTATGGTCTGTTAGTTAATTAGGTTAGGATTTAGGATCAGGTTAGGATTTACCTGTCTAAATACCTGCTTTTGTATAGTAATTTTGTTTGGAATATATTTTGGGGACAAGGGGCAGATATTATAAGAATTCATTCTTCTTCTGCTGCCTTTCATTTTATTTCTGTGATTGTATATCTTTTTTCTTTTCTTTAAATTGTATTATATTTGTTGTTTGGATGAAATGAAATGAATAAATAAAACATACATACATACATACATACATACATAAAGGTTGAATGAAAAATTATAAACGTTTTGAGCAGTTTCTAAGGAGCCTGGTGGTGATTCGCGGTCTGGCCAGCAGGGGCGCTGTGGCGACAGAGACACTTCCACTGTTAAACCAAAGAAGTCCACGACGCTGAGCCGGATGTGTTTATTAGATGGGTTCGTAACGTAAATAATAAGTCTGGGTTAGTTTATGTTGGGGCTTGTTTTATATCGTCCAAAATACCAGACTTATCGTGTTTAACGAGACTTTTTGGAGGACTGTGTGTCCGCAGCGGCTGACTTCGCTTCCGTTGTAGCATCCTTTAGCGCCTAGCGGAGGCAAACCGTCGCTTTTTAAGGATGAATTTGGTCGAAAACAAATCTCTGTACGCTCACCTGCGTGACGAGGACGCCGTGGTGGTGGAAAACGCCGTCAAACTGGCCATAGACTCGGTTTTAAACGTCCTGTACGGCGTGAACGGCGCCAAGGCTCGGGAGTACCAGCGGATGGTGGCCGACAGGGACAAAGAGATCCGGCGGCTGGAGAGCAGGCTGACGGAGCTGGAGCGCGAGCTGCAGGTGCTGCGCAGGCACGGCTGCACGTGCGCCGTGTTCGAAGGGGGACCCCGGAGCTTCGGTAACCGACAGAGCGGGGAGCAGGGCGGGTTCGGACCCGGTTCTGTTAACTCTGAGATGACAGCGGAACCGCAGGAGGAGTGCGAGATGATGCTGTCCTGTAAGTCGGTTTGTTTTTGTTGCAGCTCTGCCTCAGGTAAAAAGGTGTGTTTAATTCAAAATGCTGAAACAACAGATTGGTACCTCTGGATTTTAAAGGGTTTGAGGTGTTTACCCATAATGCACAGCAGCACCATGCTGTTGGCTCAAGCCCCAGAGCCAGGAGCTCAGGGGCCGGACATCCAGCAGTAAGGTTGTTTTACGATTTAAAATCTAGTTTTAGTTAAAAATGAACCCATTGGTGGGACGAACTGAGCACACCTGTCCCTGACCACCACTTGAATAGCCCCTGCCTTATTCCAACTGTCAAGCATGGTGGTGGAAGGTTCATGGTTTGGGCACAATCACTTGAGTCTAACATTAACAAGTCTGTTGGGCCAGTCCATAAAAAGTAGTCCCAGTGTAGAAAATATAGAATTTTTCACCCTAAATACTTTTTTTTTTTTTTTTTTTTTAACTTATTGACCCAAACTCTAAGAAAATGATGACCAGCTCCATTTTTTTTTTTTTTTTGGCTGTACCATCTGTGCTAAGGCATCAAATTGCATACCATTGTTATGCGTACAAATACAAATTTGCATATCTTTTGTTGTATTTTGTTGTTTACAAACATTTTTCTCCACCTATTAACAGATTTTGGAAAACAAAATTTAACCCAGTGATTCCAGAGTCAAATGTGAGGCCGTCTGTGTGACCAAACTGGGTCGTGTTTCCACAAGATAATGATCCCAAACACAGCAGCAAATCCTGGGAAAAAAATTAAGATCCAAGGTGTTTGAATGGGCCAGTCAATGTCCCGACCCTTGAACTTTTATAGAAATACCAGATTTACTCCAGTATCTGAGTAGTGGAAGCCAGAATGGGATTTGCGTACCCACAGGGTGGCCCTGGTACAGGTTTTGTGTAAACTAATTTAAATTTCAGGTGCTAATTTACTTAGTTCTTACCTCCCTACTACGATAGGTTCCAACAATCATGTTTCTAATATGTTTTTCTGTAATGACTGAGAGTTAAAATAAATCTCCAGGAGATTTAAAGCATCTTTAAAGCCCCACACTGATATTTTAACAGTTACTAATGCTCATAGTAGGTATTTTGTGATGGTCTAGATCAGGGGTCTGCAACCTTTATGATCAAAAGAGCCATTTCTGCCCCTCGCCCACTAGAGTTGTCATTATCAACTGGTGGCCAGTGGGCCACTTTAAATTTGTTAGAGGAGGCTTTTCTGGCCAGTAGATGTGCAATTATAAAACTTAAAAACATCCAGTGATTGTTAACATTTATTTATTTTTTACATTTTGAGACAAAAGACTGGATTCCATTTATCCATCCATCTTTTTATTTGTTTATTTTTATTTATTTAGAAATTTATTCATTTCATTAAAAACAAAACAACTAAATACAGTAAAAAACAAAAAATATATACAATCAAAAAATAAAATGAAAAGCAGCAAAAGAAGAATAAATCTTATATCTGCCTCTTTTTTCCCCCCAGAATATATTCAAACAAAAGTAATTTACACAAAAACAAAGCTAAATAAAACAACATCAACTCAAACAACAATTTGTACAGATACACATTATATTTCCATATTCCTTCAGAAAACTGTTAACATTTTCTTGAATATGGACATAGATGTGGCAGTTTTAACATCATCCTTCAGACCAGTCCACAATCCCATTCCCTGAATTATAGTGGACCGCTCCTTCAAACTGGTACGAAACCAGCGCTTCACAAACATCTCTATCCCCTTAGATAATAACCACTCTCCCTTTTCACAAAATTTACTTGGATACTTGAAGGTTTGTGAGTGTTATACATAAACATTAAAATATTATAATCAACCAAGTCATAGAATTTCAATATCTTCAGTTGATAAAACAATGTATTTGATGGATGTCCATAATCTTTTCTAGTGATAAATCTTACAGCTCTTTTCTGTAAAATAAAAATAGGGTTTGTAATTGTTTTACATGCTTCACCCCAGACTTCAATACAGTAAATTAAGTGTGGGACAGTTATTGCTTTATACAACATAAACAGTGTTTTATATCGAGTAACTCCCTTACTTTGTACAGTACTGCAATAGATTTAGCTATTTTTGTTCGTAAGTTATTTATGTGAGGTTTCCATGTCAGTTTTTCATCAATGATGACGCCCAGAAACTTCACCTCCCTGACTCTACAAATCTTCTTTACTCGCTTCTTCCTTTTCGGGTGGCGGGGGGGGGGGGGGTCACTGCTGGCCACATCCAGGTCGCAAGTCTACCACTGAAGACTGGATTCTTGCAAAGAATAAAACAATTTATTATGCCGATATTTTAAAAACTAAAACAATGAACTGTGCAGGCTTATTCGTGTGTGTTTTTAATTGTGGAGAAACTGAGTATCTGAGAAGAAATAACGCATAAAGTTAAAGGAAGTATAATTTACTCTGTGTGTTAGAACTAGTATCCACACATTTGCAAAGGATTCGACAGGAAAACTTGTAAAACTAGTCATTTTTTGTTGTTGGTGTAGCATCCTATAAAATTCAGTTTGATGTTAGTTTTGATCAAAGCTTGAGAGTCACTGCGGAGGGACCAAAGAACCACATGTGGCTCCAGAGCCGCAGGTTGCAGACCCCTGGTCTAGATGACTTCATGCTTACTTCAAGTTTTTTTTTCATCTAATCAAATTTGATTTGTGTGTATTCACATTCAGTAACGGTGGAATCCTTATCTGACAAAAAGTATTTTTATGTATCTCTGTAAGTTGTATCTATATTATCTTTGCGATCCACACTTCGTGTCAACACGGTTCACATCTACCGATGGTTCAGGTGTGCTCTGCAGTCGTTCTGACAACCGGCCTCATCGCACGTCGACGACATTTGAATTTAATTTTCTAAATTTAAGACCTGATGAGAGTCTAGCATTTTCTGTTAGGATAAATAAAAGTCTAGATTTTAAAATGGGCTCACATGCACCGTGACTTATTTAGACCGTTGATGTAGTTCAGTACTTCCTGCTCTAAAGGAGTGCTTTTTTAACTCTACTTTGTGTGTTTTTTTCACAGTGGGTGTTTTTGCACGACCCCCCTCTCATGTGTCCTCCCAAAGCCACGAGTCAGCTCTTCCGTCCTCCCCCAGCCGTCTGGGCTTGGACCCAACCTGCACGTCCCGCTCCTCGGAGGCTTCGGTTGTTCCAGACGCAGCCAGAAACCTGCTTCCGTCTCCCAGCAGCCTCGTCGTCAAAGAAGAGCCTTGTGACATCGACACGGTTCTGATCCAGTGGGAGATGAGTGAGGAAAGAACCGCAGAACTTCCAGAGACCTCAGGCAGCCGAAGACAGGACAAACCGAGTCCCAGTGGAAAACGTAACGTACCCAAATCACTGCTAATAACATTAAAGTGTCATGCTAACACTTAGCATTACGCTGCAGCCTCCAGGCGAGCGTTAAAACCTCGTTCTGTTTCACTCCATCATTTTAAAGCCTCTGTTAGGTCAGAAGTTTGCTGCTTTAAACTGTATTTTAATTTAAAATCATTAGTTTATGGTTTGTTTTGTGTTAACTTTAAATCATTTGTGTATAAAGTATCATGTAACAACAGAAAAGGTTAAATCGTGTCATCTGGACCAGTTTAAGTGAGAAACGTTTCGTCCCCCATCCAGAGGACTTCCTCAGCCTGCCAACCAGATCTGTCCCATAAGTAGCCTTCACTGCCGTGTTTCAAGCCAACCTCCTGTTGGAGTCTCAGCAGCAGGCTTTGAGCACGTGCAAACAGAGCACGCCCATCCAAAACAATCAATCATCATGAACAGCAATCAGATGTTTTAAGGCCGATGTCCAACTTGCTACTCGGAGAAACAGCCCGAGGACACACAAGGTCAAAGTGGTTCAGAAAAAGGTTTGTGAGCGCAATCATCCAGGTAGATGACAACAATGTTATCTACCTGGATGACTGAGCTCACAAACCTTTATCATGCACGTGTTGTTTCAGGGAGATCTGAACAAACTAAAATCGCATCAGTGTGTTTCTGCTCAGTGCCCTGAGACGACCTCTGTTGTGACTTGGCGCTATTAAAAAAAACTGAATTGAATTGTGAAAGTCTCATAATTTATTGTCTTTTTGAATTTAAACCTTTACACTGGTCTGTTTTTATTTGTATCTATGCAGACCAGAAATCTCCAAAAGAATAAAGTTCATTGGTTAAATGCTGAATAATGTAACATGCATAAAAACCATGTGACCTTCTGTTAGAAATGATTTCTTCTTTATTTGTCTCTGCAGAAAACCCAGAGAGGAGCGCGGGGAAGCAGCTGAGGGAGGAACCTCAGGCAGAGCCGGGTGGATTTCACCTCTCTGCAGCAGATCAGCTAAAGTCAGTTTCCTCTTGATAGAAATACATTAAATAATAATAAACTGTGTTCGACTGAGCCATATTGAAATTAGTTTGTGTTAAAAAAAAAGACTAAAGGCCTTTTGTTCACTTAAACTTTCCATTTTTATTACATAGTTGAATTAGCCTTTTATTAAATAAAATCTCTGCGTTGTCTGAAACCCAGCACTGGTTCATCCCTTGAGTTTGATTCTTTTTAATGTTTAAATGTAAACGCAGTGACCTGTCCTCACCTGTCGCCCCGCACAGGAACAGGAAGAGGAACGTCCCGATGTCCCAGCTGCCCGAGGAGGCTCAGAAACAGAAGCGAGCAGCGTGGAGAGCGGCTTCCAGGCGGTATTACGCTCGAAAGATCGCTCGCCAGCGGGCGAACCCACTGCGCTCCGGACCCGTTGCTCCCGTCACGAACTCTCAGCAGAGCGGCTTCATGGATAAAAGGAGGAAATCGTTGATTTCTGAGTTGCCCAATTCTCAGATGCTGCAGAACGAGGCGTGGAGCAGGTACTACGAGAGCAAAGCGGTTTTCCACCAGTCGGACAACATGGCGTTCGGACACGTGATGGAGGACCTGAACCCATCTGGAGCACCACAGGGGCCGAACAGTGACGGGCCCCTCACTAACAGTGGAGGAATAATGTGCAGCTGATGGGCTGCAGCAACACTAAATGAATTCAAGGCTTTGTTATTTTTGAGGCAGGACGTTGGTTTGTTTCTCGTTTTCACTACATGAGATGAAGTCCCAGGTTTAACTGCTTCTATTTATTAAAGGTCCAAAGTAAAGAATGGATTATTTTTCGAGGATTTTCTTTGTATCCAGAAAAATAAAGCTCTTCGGTGCTGTTTAATGTCAAACAGTGCAGCTGTGAGCCACTGGTAACTGTTTCCTATCAACATTTAATGGGAACAAATAGAAACCACCAATTGGCAATTTAAGAATATCTTGGAAACGGCTGCAAATAAGTTGAAATACCTCAGTACGTTTCAAGTGAAACCTAAAAATGACAGCAGGTTCGAATCTGGTTCTGATCTTCCACAAATATCTACATTTTCAGATATAAAGTTAAAAATTTACAGAATGCATTAATCCAATCAGGCTGTTAGTTATTAAAGTTATGTTAAATATAAAGTTTTACAGTGATTAATCTGCAGCGTGTGTACCTTCAGAGCTGGTTGAACCCAGGTCTCTGACGTCATCAGCCATGCCAGATCCAGTGCTTTGAACTGAAACTTCATTTTTAGAGCTGAGGACTGGTCATAGACTGTGCTCCTGGCCTGGTGCATTGTGTATGTTAGAGGTAATGTAGGTGCTGAAAGCCCATGATGTCCACTGCAGCGCCCCCAGCGGCCACCGCCTGCTACTACAATCAAAAGTTCTGAACATTCAGCGTTTGATGCAGAAATGATCAGCTTTATACTGAAATAAACATTTTTATCTATTGTATCTTTATCTTTTTCAACATGTTAAATAATAAAAACCTAATTTAAATGCAAACTCTAGCTCTGTTTGTTTCTGGCAGCATTTTCACCAGTTCATAAAAAAATAAAGTCATGCATAAGAAAAACAACACACATTTATTTTGCACATTTATTTGTAGTAAGGCATCATGTTAAACTTGCATGGATTTAAGGTCTTGAACAACAGGTGAGATTATACAGTAAATCTTTATTTTCATCTTCTAGAAGACAAATGAGTGAGCAGAATAAAAATATGGAAAATGTAAATAATTCACTTTGTAAAATTAGGCTATAGTCTTAAAGGATGACTATATTCTAGAATTGTGCCGCTCCAGGTGGCTGCATGTTGGAGCAGCTCTGTTACTTTCTAAGATTTTGCTTTTGGAAACTTTAATTCCTCTTTTTCTGGATGTAAATCACATTTTTTTTGGATGATTGTTTCCTCTGGTATCAGATGCTGTGCAGCTGGAAGGATTTTTACTGAAACTTTTTTTTTAGTTTTGGACATTTGTTATGATGTGTAACCATGGCAACAAGGCAGTTTTCTACAACCAACAGCAGCTGATTAACATCTCAAAAGCTCAAATAATATCTCAACTACAGCCCCAAATATCAAATGAGTTGAAAAGGATGTTCTGTGGATGCATTCCCATCAACCTGCCAGCTGTGCTCGAGTGCCTGACCACTGAGATCCTGGAACTAGCAGGAAACACGGGTCATGAGGCCAGGGTCGTCCCTCGGCACCTACAGTTGTCTGTCCGCAGCGACGAGGAGCTCGGCAGACTGCTGGGAGCAGTGGCCATCGCTCTGGGAGGAGTTCTGCCCAGCATTCAGGAGGTCCTACAGCTCGGGGGAACCGAGAGGCCAGCCGAGTCTGGGTGAACGGATCAGACGGCATCTGCAGACAGTTTCTTAGGATCCACTGTGGGATGGACCTTTACAAGAGATCCTTCCTGCCTACAGCCATCAGTATCTATAACATCTCTTAATGAAATGAGGATAACGAGTTACAACAAATAATTTCCCTTTGGGATTAATAAAGTACTTTTGAATTGAATTGAAATGAAGCAGCCTTTGAACACATGAGTGTGATGAAGCAGAAACTAAAGGGTGAAATAATTCAGGATGATTTGTGTCTTCTTGTTGGGGTGGGGGTCCTCAAAGACATTCTCTCCAGTTTACAAACAACAGCCTGCTTGTTTCCTCCTCACGACGCGTCCTGGCGACAACCCCACGCGCAGCTGAGACTGAAATATGAGCCTCCCCGTCAGCTGCTGCGGCTGCATGAGGGCTCGTGCGCCTGAGCCTCTCCGGCTGCAGAGACAAGGAAGGCTTTGTCATCAACAGCTGAGCTCTTTATTCCTCATGGACCCCGGGTTCCTGCTCCGGAGCGGGGTCTGTAGCCTCCTGCAGGATCAGGTCTGGACCCGCGGAGACTCCCTCCTGATGGAGGAGGAGGCTGCAGGGCGGATCCGGTTCCGCTGCGCCCTCAGCATCATTTGCATGAGGATTATTTTGGGGAAAAACATGCTCAACCGTCGGTTCTGGAGTCCCACCTGAGGGCGTGCAGGACTTGTGTCTGCGGGTTTCACAGAACTGGTGTCAGTGCTGATCCCAGACTGCACCAAACTCAGCCTGAGGACTGGGTTTCTGTGGCGCACGGAACCTGCGCGTTCAGAGTTGGAACTTTTTGTTGTGTTGCTGCTCAGGAGGACTGTATTTTGCTTTTATTATACAATACAGTTCTTAATGTAAAATAAAACATTATTTTATTCAGGAGTTTGTTGAAATGTTTAAAATAAAGTAAATATTCAGTGGAGCCGCTGCGCCATTTGGAAAGATCTGCTCTGACGCGGATGGACTTAAAACTCAACATTATCTGCGTGCAGCGTTAAAATTATGAGAAGAAATGGTAAGTTTGAAACATATTTAATAAGATTACCCTTTAAGTTGGACAAACGTTTAACTGTTTCCTCCCTGGAGCCTTTGGAGAGCCTCTGCGCCGTTGGGTACAGCTGCGCACCGTTGGAGAGCTTTCTGTTGGATTCGTTGCGTTCTCTTTGGCATCGTTGGATTTTACTCATATGCAAATAATTTATTTCACATTTTTATGTTTCTTCCACAAAAAAGGAGTCAGTTTAACCCTAAAGAGCCTCACCAGCTTGGCACTCTTGGCCTGTCAGAGCTGTAAACGCAGCAGAAAGCGGGAGAGGCGCAACTGCGCTCCGGCTGACAAACCCGGCTCTGTAGCAGCTGTCAGGCTGCTGGATGGAGCACAATAAGTGGACATTTGAGGGGGTAGGACGAAGTGTTTAAGAGGAGGGGGCTTTGCTATTTAGACCATTTAAAATATAAATTTTAATATCATATTGGATATTATGGCTAATTAGATCTTAAACAGTGTTTTTTAGATTTTGGGGGCCATTTGGGCTCTATAAAAATGGGTTTGTTCATTTTGATCACCCCTACATATTCAACAAACATGGATGTGTCCTTTTTTGCAGGGATTTCTGGGAAGAAGAAGGAGGGTGTTGAGCCTGGGACCGTAGAAAGTGATCTGTAGGCTGAACCTCTGAGAAAAGGTAAGAAATCCTCTGTTGTGTTGGGACCAAAGGAGCCTAAATGTGGCTGAGAGGCAAAGAAAGGCTCTAAACTCAACAATTAGAGAGGAGGAATCAAGTTTTCAGGGGTATTTTACTGTATTTTTGGTGTTTATGGGTAGGGAGGGTCACAGCCTATGTTGTGCACCAACAAGGAAATAATGGAGAGGTAGATAGGGGGAGCCAGAGCTGAGCAGGAAGGAGTCCTGGGCCTGAGCTGTGAGGAGAGGATGTGCTGCTCATTGTCCTCACAAAGCAGAAGTCCAGGTGACACCTCAGCTCCCCTCATGTTTAGACTCATTAACTCGGTGATTGTTTGGAGAACATGAGCCTCAGATGAGACTTCCTCAGAACAGGAAGCCGAACAGGCTGATCAGAAAACTCAGCAGTGTCACGAAATGCTTCAAATCAGGAACCAGAATGGGACCTGAACGTTTTGGTGACACTTGGGATTAAAATCCTGTGCGTTTCTTTGACTTAGCCTAGCATTGCTGTGATCTTTAAAAACATCCAAGATGGCGTCTGTGCAGCCAGGATCAGGTGAGAGCAGCCTGGCACTTCCTGCTCCAGCACAGCTGACTGTTGCCATAGCAACGCACACTTTAATGCTTTTTGCCTCAGCACTAACACAGATTATAATAATCTGTAAAATAACGCATACATACAGATTTATTGGTGCCTTCAGCCTCCTGTGTGTGCATGCAGAGCAGTGATTGGCTCTAATTGATCCAATTAACGACCACTAATTAACAGCTTTAGTCATGTTTATCTCCTTGTGCATTTAAATATATTAAATTCTTGTTTTTTTATGTTTAAAGTAAATTCAAAGAGTAATAAGTGTGCACAAAGTGTTAACTGACAGATGTAAACAGCAGCTATTAAACATTTGACTTGTTCAAAATGGCCTTATTAAGGTAAATAAAAATAAATCTCAAATGAACTTTTGTGTAAAATAAGTAAAAAAAATGACAGTGTTGTTGTTTCAGAGGCTCATTTTTTTTTTAAAATAACTGGTGTTTAACCCTTTCATTACCTCCACTGGAGCTGCAGTTTGTGGGATTGTGTTGAAACGGAGCGTCTCCTGCAGCTGCAGAAATAAAGACACAATAAAAGGCACAAATAGAATCTGATGCTTGTTTGAAGAAGCAATTATCAAACATGATTGTTGTTTTTCATGAACTGATTTGTGGGAGAACACCCCCCCCCCCCACACACACACACACACACCCACCCACACACAATTTTACAGCTGATCAAAAGACAGAATGCTTTTAAAATCCTACAAACAAGCTTTACAAACTTAATGTTTTTATTTTATAATTATCTGAAAGCATCAATGATTCAAATAAGTTTTTTTTTTTTTTTTTTTCCCCCCCAAGTCTTTACAGTTTAAATGTAAACGCTGAAAGTTTTTCTGAAGCTAAAGGGTTAAGTGGAGTCAGTCCACAGCTGTGGTGCTGAAATCAGAGGCTGTTCTGGGGTTGTTGCTGCCTCCCTCTGCTGGATGTGGGGGAGGAAAGAGAACTAAGAACAAAGTGTTGATTTGGCTTCAGCTCCTCAGACCTGTGGTCTTCGGCTGTTTTGAACTTTGAACCCGTTCAGTTTAAAGGGCCTGACGCTGCAGCTCCACTCGTCTAATACACGAGTGTTTCAGCTCGGTCAGTCGGGCTCGTTGCTCTCTCTCTGTAAGGAAGCTCCAGCTTCCTGGACCCGCCCACGAGCTGCTTCTGCTGTCTCTGATAGGATCCTCCACCTGTCAGTCAACTGCTGCTGCAGAGGAGCTATCAGCTCGCCCCATAGAAACACACAGGAACCAGGCTGGTGCTGAACACACACACACACAGTTGCTGTGTCACGCAGCAAGATGGAGACTGCAGGTCCAACTACAGCAGCCAGCGAGGGACAAAAAACTGCTCACTTCCTGGTTCTGTGAGTTCCACTGAAGTGAGGCTGCAGAGCTGGATGGAAATCTGCAGGTTCTGCTGTTTGTTTCCTTTCATCCATGATCTTTGGCAGAACCAGAACCCAAACTTCCAGAATATCAAAGTGACATTTGTTGTAAATCTTGCTCTGCAGAGTGTTTGTCTCACAGCCTTGTGTTTTAAAAGGCTTCTCCAAACCGCCATGAAATAATTTTCTGAGGCTGAAGAAGCATTTGGAGAAAGATCTTGGTGAAACCGTCACCGCGACGACCTGCTGCTGTAATAACGCAACTCTCTGATTGAACCTGGCTCCTGCAAGTTATACAATATAAAGTATCAGATCTATTTGGTGATTTTAGGACGATTTATTGAGATTTTGAGCCGGGCAGTAAAGTGAAAGAAATATTTTTATCAGTTTAATCTCGATCCCCGGTCATTGCGCGTCTCGTGGTGTCTCTGAGCAGGACACCTAATCCCTCATTGCTCCCCAGGCGCCTACTTAGCACCCACTGCTCCACCTGGGTGCATCCCAGGTGGGATGGGTTTAATGCAGAGAACTAATTTCATCTTTGTATGGGAACATACAATGACACATAGCACTTTATTTATTTATTGCTCCCTCTTGTGGTTCATATTAAGTACTGCACAATCACATGTTTCTTTTTATTTTTTTAATAAAAAACAGGAATATTTCAGGAGGATTTTTTTTTAGATTTTCAGTCGGGCAGTAAAGAGACATAAATATTTATATCAGTTTCATCAATAACAGCTGATTCATTTAATTTAGCTCCCTCTTGTGGTTTATTTTAAGTACTGCATGATCATATAATATTTCTGTTTTTAATAAAAACATTAACATTTTAGGAGGATTTTTCTCTGTCAGCTTGTGAAACGCACTTTGTGGTCCACGTTAGACATTAAGGATGTGACGTTTTGATTCAAAGTAAATGTTTAACTGATGTCTGGCGTTATGGACGCCTCGGCTCTATTTGGATATTTCCACTCTTCAGTCGGTCTCTTGCTGATCCTGACGAGGTTACAAACGTGTTTTATGAGATAATTTTACATCTGGATAGAGAATTTTCATAATAATCATCTGAATTAAAGTGTTTCTTCTCCTCCTCGCTCCTTTTGTAGATCATCGCCACCATGATGGACGAGGAGATCAAGGAGGACCGAGCTAAGCTGAAGGAGGGTGTGGTCAAAGTGCTGCAGTGTGTGGCCACCATCTCCTCGGCAGCAGCTGTGGTGAACCCCATCTTTGGCGTCGCCGGCTCCCTGATCCGGGTGGTGCTGCACCACATCGACGACGAAGACATCCGCACCCTGAAGCGCGAGTTCGGCTCGGTCAACCGGGGCCTGGACGAGCTCTCGCAGCAGAACCGCAAGGCGCTGGTGCAGATCGAGAAGGAGACGGTGGACGGGCAGTACTGCCACGTGGAGGAGAACCTGAAGCACCAGTTCAAGAAGTTCATGGAGATGGTGGAGGCGCGGCCGGCGCACCGTGAGCGCAAGAAGGACGACTTCGAGGTGAGCTACTCCAATGACTTGGGCGACCAGAACCTGCACACGCTGTACGACGGCGTGGTGGGCAAGCGGAAGCTCTTCAGCAGGCCCATCCTGGACGTCTACCTGAAGTACTCGCAGGGAGACCGGCGCATCATGGAGCGCCTGTGCACGCGCCTCACCTACCTGTTCTGCATCGGCCTCATCGCCCTCATGGGCTACGCCGCCGTCATCGGAGACGACGAGGAGAGCCTGAGCGAGGAGTGGGCCGAGAAGATGGAGCACGTTCAAGAGAAGATGCAGGAGGCTCTGAGCAGGTGTAAATGAAGAGGAGGGACTTAACACGTCCACGCCCCTGCTCTAACTCCGCCCCCTTTCCCCCTCCCTGAAACCCACCCGCGGCTCATTTAATCGCTTCAAAGTGAAGGCAGCGCTGCGCCTTGTTAGGCTCAGAACGTGCACGTCAGCGGGCTTTATGACGGAGATGTTGCTGCATTTTATATTTTCACATCACAGCTGCGTGAAGCTGAAGTTTAAAAATACTTCAGCTTGTCTGACTCAAAGATAAACAGGTCAAATATGAATCTAAACTACATGGGGTGAATTTAAAAGTCTAACACACAAATACTCTTAAAATAGCAGCTGGGTGAAAAAAGTTGCAAACGAACGGAGCGTTGCATTTTCCCTTCAGTCCCTCCTCCGGCTCCAGCAGCTGAAGGAAAGAAGCTTCAAACATCCAACGAGCTAAAGTCTCTGGTTTCACCACTGCAGCCAGTTTAGCAGCTTTAATGCACTTTGAAATATTTTCTGCACGTTGCAGTTTTCTGACAAAACCATAAATCACAGAATAATCAACAGGTTTGTCTGGAGCTACGATAAACGTGAGTAAACAAGCTGACAAATAAAACATCCTGAAGTTTGCAGAATGATGCAAATGTAATCGTGTTATTTTGACCTTTTTGTCATTTTGTCTGTTGGGCTCAGATTTATTGGCTGCTAAAGTTCATGTTGAATTAAAGAAATTAAAACCCTAAAGAGAGGGAGAACATCTGTCCTAAACAGGAAGCTGCAGATGTTTTGTCTTCACTGACACTACACAGGATCCGGTTCTGGTCCAAACTGTCCGGGACGTTAAGTTTTTGTGCCTTTTTGGAAGAAAACTGCAATTCAGTCATTAAAAGTTTTAACATTCTGTGAAACTCCAGACTCAATTATTTTAATTTCTCTATAATTTCTGTTTTGTCTTCATCCGAGCCTGAACGAGCTCATAGTTCAACACTAACCTGCGTATTAAATGGGTTTATTTTTACAGGTCTGGAGGATCGGGGGGGTTGTTTAATCATTTAATATCATGTCAGTAAAGTTCAGATTTATTTAATCCAAGAGCTCCAGATGTTTCTGTTGCCTCGCGTCAATATTAATCAGAATAAATCCGCAGATAATTCGTTAACGAGCGTCTCTTGTGATTCCTGGTTTCTGACGTCATTTTAAATATATTTTTACATGTTGGGTCTAACTCACTGCTCTGGTTTGTGCTTCTGCCATTTATTGTTACAAGAAAAGTGCTTTATAGGTTTTGTTTTTAGATGTTTTCTTTTTTTATGGATATAAAAATGTGGGTATATATGCATCTGTATAAATAAATGAAGTGAAAATAAAATGAGTTTGAGTTTTATTTATATAGAAATGCTCAAAACACCTCATTTAAAGACACGAAAGCTTTTATAAATTATTAAATCAAAGCTTTGTTTTTTAATCTTGTAAAAGCTCTCACATTTTAAATCTTGTATATAAATATAATAACACACCTCAGATGAAGTATTTTAGCAGAAAATGATATTTTAGTAATAATTTAAAACCTACATTGGATTTATTTTATCTTCATTCTTATTCTGAAACTATTGAAGAGCTGCTGTTTAACATCTGACATCTTCTCTGTTTCCCATCAAACACTTAAAAGACTTTATTTTTAGTTCACGTCAGACATTTTCAAAATGTTCTAATGACGAGGAGTCCAACAACAATGAATATTAAACTAGGAAGTAGTGTTTGTAAATCGTAGCTGAATTATTTTTGTAGGAATCTAAATGTTTCTTTTACAATGAAGTCATTGATTATTAGTTGGTTTCCTGCGTCTCATGTTTAATTTTAGCTTTTAAATAAAACGGGAGACGGAACAAGGCGGGATGAAATGTGATTTTATCTGTTGTGATAAATGTTTGTGGACTTTTAGTGATTTAAACAAGACTTTTAACTTTATCTTTAATTACTAGGACATCTTTGTAAAAGAGGTTATAACATAAATTTATTTATTTCCTGGTAAATTAAAGGTTTAAATGTAAAAAAATAAAATCATTACAAAAACCCGAATAACTCAAGATGTTTTTAATTGTGCTGCTTTATTTATATTAATTTAAATAAAACTCTTGCTTGAATTTAAGTCTTTTAAGTATTACAAAAATTAAAATATTACTAAATAGGTAAATTATGCATTTATTTCGAAGTCAGAGAATACTCCATTTTGTTAAAACATAAATCATGTTTCTGTTTCCAATGGTTACTTTATATATATATATATAGTGTATAATCGTTTAATTGTTTTTAATTAAACTTCGTTTTGCAGATAAACTTCATGAAAATGTATGTTTTGTCTTAACTTTTAGTAATATCTTTAATATGCATGCCCCTCTCTGATAAACTTATAAACACGAACAACTTTTAGTTGTTTTTATTCTTTTTTAAATCTGTCTAATGTATAGACATAAAAACAAGTATAACTTGCAAATAGAGGTACTTTATGTAGATTATACATAAAAACGTTTCTTTTTAAAGGTTAAATCATCTAAAATAAGTTGTTTTGAGTCAATCTGATTTTGTGTTAATTAACTGTCTCGCAGAATGATTGTCCCAGTAAAACCGTGCACGTTTAGGTCCGTGCGTCATAAGGAGAGAAAGTGGAAAATATGCAGTTCGCGAATGTGTCCGCCAGAGGGCGCAAGCTCATCACCTGCGTCATCATTCCACCTGTTCTGTGTATGTGTGTGTGTGTGTGTGTGTGTGTGTGTGTGTGGGGGGGGGGGGGGGTCAGGACCTAAAGCGCCTCATCTTTCTTATATAAGGACTAAAACTAATCTGCAGCTGGAGGGAACATCTAAAATAACTTTTGTTGATCAGTTTTTAACTTTGGAGGACATGGAGCTGGACGTGTTTTATGATGGTGAAGCCCCCACCCCATGGTGCCCCCCACCCCACCCCCACATCCTCGTCCAGATGAACAGGTTTGACTCCCAGCAGCAGGAATGTTCATGTCAGAGTCACCTGAGGCTCACCTGCTGCAGACACTCCGTCATGGAGCTTCTTCTCCTTCTGTCGCTGAAGAACAAAAACATCATTTATTATTTATTATTTGTTTACTTGTTATTTATGAAACGTTCAAACACAAAAGATGAAATAAATCAGCGTTTGACTCTTTGGAGGAGGAACAATTTGCATAACTTCCTTTTTTTCTCCAGTCTGGGTGTTTCCATGGCGCGTCGTGAGCGCGCAGATAAAGAGGGGGAGGGGTGTCAGGATTTTCATCTTCAGGTTGTTTTATTAAAAAAATAAAAACCACAAAAAAAAACACCTCTAATCCTGATGTTCATTCAGTTTAAATAATAACATCTGGATCCGTGATAGGATAATTGTCTATGGAGGGAGACAGTGACGCACGGAGGGGCAGTGGTTATAAATACACTCTGACCCCCTCCCAACACATTTAACATCATTTTTACCACAAAACATAATTTAACAATAAATAGCAATAAATACAAACCCTTAAGATGTGAGAATAAATTCACATCTGGGGTGTTATTGAGGGGACATATTTAAACTTGTGAGGGTCTTACCTCTGGTTAGGATCCTTTAAAAATATCTTTAATATGTTGAGTAATAATAAATAAATAAATAAATAAATAAAAGGAAAATAAATGTATAGAAAAACTAACTGACAAAAGTCTAAATCCCCATGACGGTCTATTTGAAGATGAAGCTGCTCCGTGATGGCTGGAAAGAAAATGGACCCTCCGCAGATTTCTGCGTCTTTCCGCCCCTCTCTCTCTCTCTCTCTCTCACTCCTTCCATACCTCCCCCCTCTCTCTCTCCTCTTTTTCCATCCTCCTCTCTCTCCCTCTCCTTTGCAGATACTGAGTGCGGATCTTCTCTGGACCCTCTCGGAACCACCGAAGGGGATTTTTTTGAGGTTGTCTCCAGCTCGTGAGGAGCAGCTCCGCCGCATGTTCAGGTAGAGGAGCAGGAATGTGATGAATGTCTTTATCTTCCATCTGAAGGGGTCAAACCCTGAAAGGTGTGTCTGATGCGCTCAGGGGATCTGTGCGTAAAAACGGCTTCCGTTGCGCATTTGTTCCGGCAGCGCGTGACTCACACAGCTCTGAAAATCACAAGCTGATGTTTATCCTCTTTAAGACCAAGACGGTTTTATCTGTATATAAAATAATATATTTCAGATGTTTAGCAGGAGCTTAAACACAGAAGAAGAAAAGGTTTAGAGTTTTTATCAAAGATGGTTCGGCCTTCAGGACAAGTGCGTCATTTCCTCTCCTCTAACCTTCACTTTGTTTGGGTTTTCCTGCAGACTTCTCCAAACACGTGGCTGAAAAAGGAAACATTGTTTGGAGAATCATACATTTCTTTTAATTCATTCATTCATGAAGTGTTTTTATTATTATTATTATCACATTAAATGTGGAGAACTTCATTTAAACTCTGGTTTATGTGAATAAAAACACCCTGAAGCCCAACATTTGTATCTTATTATTACAGATTGTTACACTCGACTGATGAAACCTTGAGTTTCTAGCGCCGTTTCTGCAGCAGCAAAGTGTTTTACCACAGGACCTTTGACCTTTAGGGGGATTGTGTGAAGTCTATGTGTCATAAAGAGTCCAGGTTGGGGGGGTTGACTCAACACAAGGAGCTTCCAAACGATAAAAAACTTTCATTTTGGCAAAACGAACGCTGATGTGGCAGAAAGGTTTCCAAAAACAGAAGAAGTTAATGCTCCTCTGAGGAAACAAAGTGCTGCAGCTGAGACAGGTGGGCGGGGCAGGTGTGAGTGGGCGTGGCATGCCGAGAAATACACAAATAACAAAACTGAAGGAAGAATCATGAAACCTAATAACCAAAACAAGAATAAACTAAAAAAATAACTACGAAAGCATCGATCGCTCATTAAGAAAACTTAAATTTTCATTACATTACATTTCATTACATTTTCATCTTTAAATCACTTCTTGGTCTGCTGCCTTCATACATCTCCTCCTACATGTCTCTGCGTGAGTGCAGCTACAGCGTGCGCTCTCAGGACATTATTACCTGCAGTGTTCCCTCAGTGAGGACTGAACTAGGCAAAAGGGCCTTCTCCTACTCCGCTCCTGTTTCCTGGAATATCTTACAAAAAGATTTGAAGCTCTCGACCTTGACCTCTCTAAGTGGCTTTAAGAATCTGTTGGACTCCTGGCAGGGTCCAATGCAGACATGTTCCTGTTTTTAGTTTTATACATTTGTCTCGGAATCTAGCAGTTTTTTTTTGTTTTGTTACCTTTTTCCTTTTAGCCATCCTATTTGTTAAAAAAAAACAAAAAAAAACTGTAGTATGAGTTTTTATAACTGCTTATTGTTGTTGCTGTTGTCCATTGTTGTCATCTTTCTTTGTTGAAATCAGGTCTCTCTTGTAAATGAGTCCTCGAGGCTCAATGGGATTTACCTGTATAAATAAAGGTTGATTGATTGATAAATGAACTCTAATCTGGGGAGTTTGGAGCCTGGATCAGTTTGTTGAATCATTTTGAAAATCTGATTTCTTTCCATTGATGCCAATTTTTCAGATTAAGAATCTGAGAAATTTGGAGGAAAACCAACAAAAAATCTGTAAATCTGAAGAAAATGTTTGAGAAGTGGGTCACGGCTCCACAAACTGATGGTTAAAATAATTAAATGCAGACTTTCAGTGATGCCGTTTCATAAAGGTTCATTTTACTCTTTTATTTATTTTTTCATTCTGTCCAACAGAAAATGACGAGTTCTCTGCAGAAGGTTGTGGCTCAGAAGAAGGAGGCCATCGAGGCGCTGATGGACATGTTGGAGAGGGGGGCCGAGGTGCTGGCCAGCACCGTGGGCGAGCTCTTCCCCCTCTGCGAGGCCGCCGCTCCGGTCCTCCGCCTGGCTCTGGACAACGTGCAAAGCAAAGAGGTGTTTTACGTCAAAGAGCAGTTCCTGACGGTGAGGAAGCAGCTGGACGTGCTCTCCAGTCAGCTGGAGGACATCGACTGCGAGATCAAGAAGGGAAGGCTGGACTCGCACTACTTCTCTGTGGAGGAGAACATCAGGAACCAGTTTCGGAAGTACATGGACATCTTGGAGGCAAAGCAGCAGTTCAGGGAAGTGAAGACAAAGCTGTTTTTGGAGCACTTTGCCAAAACTGGAGGAGAGAAGAACCTGATGGTGCTCTACGACGCTCTGATGGGAACAAACACGTTTGGAGAATCCATTCTAGACGTGGTGGAAAGGTGCGTTTGCTCACATTCATTCTGATTACATTATGGGCTGGAAGTAAAGGTGGCCGGTGTTTTACAGGTACGTGGCGAGGAACCGCCGTCTCCTGGAAGACTTCTGTGTTCGGATGAAGGAGCTCTTCTGCCTGGGCTTGATCGCTCTGCTCGGCCACTGTGCTTTGACCCTGCAGAGCCCAGAGGAGGAGCAGGACAAAATCCAAGAGTGGAGCAGCAGAGTTGAAGAAGTGGAGTCCAGGATGAAGACCACCATCAGCTCCTGCGTCGCTGCGTTCCCGGAGCAAGCCAAAGTGGACGTGCAGCACGTCCTGCAGGAAAAGGAGGCAGAAAGTCTGCAGGACACGAGCCAGCAGGTCCTGGACTTCTTGGTGAAGAAGTACGACTGGGTGTGCTGGTCGGTGCGGCTCATCAACCATTCGAGCAGCGCTTATCGGAGCCTGAGGGCTGGGAAGCATTTTCACCACGTGGCTGGTCAGAACTGGTTCGAGGTGCTTCAGGTGAACAACATCAACCTGGTGGTGTCGTTCAGCACCGACCCCCAGCCCGTGCCCCGCGACTGCGTCCGGCAGCTGCTGGAGGGTCAGGGCAGGAAGGGCAATGCTCCAGAGGTGGTGGAGGCCTTGGAGAAGCAGCTGTGCGGCTTCGTCGTGCACGCGGTCAGTCGTCACAAAGAGTCTGCTGCTGCGTGGAGCTTTCCAGAAGACTGCCACTACTGGGAGCGCCACAAGAACGTGGCGGTGTGCGTGCACTCAGAGTAAAGCTGCCAGGTGCAGGAGCGAGCCTTCAGCTGCAGCACGCAGGTAAACCCAGGCCGAGTCGCCCCTTGAACCTGAAGTTTGAATGTTCACGTCAAAGAACTGAAGGTGTTTCACTTTCCACGATGTAGGAGGGTGAAGTTATGGTTCTGTTTCTCTCTTCAGCTAAAAGCATCTGTTTATTTACCGTATTTTTTTGGACTATAAGGTGCAATATAAATGAACGAGTCTGTTTTTATACATAAGGCACAAATAAGTTCATTTTGACAGATGTTTGAGCCTCATAAAATCATTTCGAGGTCAGTAATCACAACCAGAATTAATACACCGGATTATAAGGCTCACTGTCGATTTTTGAGAAAATTCAAGGATTTTAAGTGCCTTATAGTCTGAAAAATACGGTAAAATGGATCAGAGAAATGATATTATTCACTTCTGAGGAGTGACCCACTCAAAGTGAAGTTTTTTAACCAACATGTGTTGCGATGTTAAATTAGGGGCCAAGGTGAAGCTGAAAGTCTAGTAAATGGGATTCCGATGTATAATTCCTTACAGATGCAGGAATGAACAAAAAGATCTGCGTTTATCATCATTCCAGGCTGAAAAGAACGGATGTGATGGATTGATACGGGAGTTGTTCGAGCTCTGAAATGAACAAGAGAACCCAAACCCACTGGAGCTCTTTAACTTCACTGCAGAAACGTCATCCAAAGTTCAAACAGGTCGCAGAAAGATGGACTCTACCTGACTGACCCCATGTGTTAATATTTTTTCCTACACAATCACAGTTTAAGATGAATTAATGATAAAGATTTTACCACAAAACGTTCCACTTTGGAGCAGTTTAAACTTTACCGAATTATTCCAACATCAGGAGGTTGAAACACTAACCAGCCTGAATGAACGGACAAACACAACCACATCCCAATAAAACAGTTTGATGGAAATATTTAAAATAGAATTAAAATAATCTGTAAGGCAACAAAAGTCCCCGAAATCAGCCCCAAACAAAAAGTAAACATCCTCCTTCTGTATCTGTCATGAACTCAGCAGGTGTCAAAGTTCATGCTCAGTCATCCAGGTAAGACATCCAGTAATGGTCCCTGAGGGGGACATTAGTGACCGGCAGGAGTGTACTGCTTCGTGGGGAAAACAGTTTATGTGACTCCTCAGACTGAAGAAGCCCTTCGGATGGAGGGTGAAACGTCTCTCAACAACAACAAAAGAAGACCAGATGACCGTTGTTGGAACTCAGCAGGTAGAAACTTCACCTGATCTGACTGGACCTACAGGCCAGCCTCTGCTGGTGTGAACAGCTTCTCTCCGAGCTTTAACGCTCTGCTCCTCATGACGAACCTGCAGAAAGACCCGACATGCAGGAGCCACGGAGAGAGGAGAGCCACACTCACAGCAAACAGCCGAGACGTTCAGTATGTTTGTCCCCTTTCCCCCGATGTGTCTCTCACTGCCGGGACTCGTGGGTTTTGCTTCAGTCTCTCCAGAGTGCACACATCCAAACTCCCATCGACTTCCACCGTTTTTGATCTGGGAAGGCCCCGTTAACCTTGTTACATCTCAATAAAACACAGTATAAACATAAAAATCAACACACAGACGCTTCAGCCTTGTAGCTTCTACACAGTGGAAGGATGAGGTTTATTTTTTACTCTGCCCGTTAGAACGAAAGGAAGTCTCACATTTTCTGAGCTTTTGATGGATCAACATGATGGATGTTGGCATTTCTTTAAAAAGATCTTTATAATCCCAGCAGATATCATCCAGTCCTGTTACTCTCTGTGCATCAAGATCAAACATCTTACATTTTTAACTCCCAGTTGTCTGCTTAAACCTTCGGCACATGTTTAATCTGCACTAACCAGATAACTATGACAAACTGCTGCATGTCACTTTAGTAAATAATAACTGTATGTTTGAGGGTAAAGTTTAATACAGTGAACAGTAGATAACAGTTTCTGCAGCTCCGACTCTTCAGCGGGGCTTCGGCTGCAGCTTGAAGCTGCTTTTTGTTTCTGCTCTGCAGGCTGACCCACATACCTCTGCAGGCATGACAACAGAACGCCGAGAGTCTGGAGACCCGACAATGAGCCCAGAGTTTATAAAAGAGCCCAAACATGCTGAGCTGCGCCACCGAATTTCTGCTGTTTCTGCGTGAGTGATGAACCCTGGAGGGTCAGTTGGACTTTTTGTATCACGTCATTTAAAGAAAAACAAAGTTGATCCAAATGTAACCGTGGTCTTTTCACGTTGGTGCAACTTCTCCTCTGCTCACGTTAAACATTCCAAGACTTAGACAAGAAAACATTTTAAAATAAATGTAGACTTTGTCCAAGCATCTAACGCGTGAAATGTAAGCTCAGTGTAAGCAACCGAAACAATGAATTAATCAGTTATCTCCCTGTATCTCCATGAAAATCTGAATAAAGTGAGTGCATGATCAGAGGTCAGTGTGGCTGTGATTCTTTGGAAGGGTTACTGACAAAACAAAGAGAAAATGAGTGCAAACACGTGTAATCTAATACCCTCCTCTGCTGGACAAATTGGATTTCTGCAGCACTTTTAGTGTCTCTGCACACTCAAATTAGGCCGTGCAACCTCAGCAACAACGGCTTCGGCTAATTTAATGAATCTTTACACACAAGTCAGCATTTCCTGACCACAGCTCTGGTTTGATGTCCATAAATAACCTCCGGATGAGCCGATGCCCTGCAGGCGAGCTGCAAACCGCTTGGCTTTGCAGGATCAGTCATGATGTTTTGCAGAGCTGCAGAACTTGTGGTTATCATTTCATCTCTCTGTGGTTCTGTTGGATTTTAGCTGCTCTGTCATAAATCAAATCTGTCAGGATCCAACCGAAGGAAGACGTTTCTGGCTTAAAGGTTACAAAACCAAAACAACAGGATTTTCAGTGATCAGGGAGATTATAGATTTAATGTTAAATAATAATAAAATCCCTATAATGGTGGTTTTAAATGAAGTTAATAATTTGTTCTGTATTTATTGTGGTTATATTACACTTTGTGACAACATTAATATTTATATCAATCAGGTTTGGTGCCTTTCTGTGAGAGAACAAACACAAAATTAGAACAAAGCCACTAATTAGCTGAGAAACAGACGTGGCTGTGCTGCAGGACAGGAAGCTGAAACGACTCGACACCAGGAACACACCGAGGCCGAAACACAACAAACCATGTCAGTGATCAAACCAGATATTTAGCTGCTGCAGAGGGAGTCAAACTACAGGAAGCAACAAAAAATGAGCTCAACAAAATAAAGCAGGAAGTATTAATCAAAGCGCAGAAGAAAAACAGTTTAAAAAGAATCTAAAGTAGATTAAGTAGATCAAGACACGGACGCTGTTAGAGTCTGAGAGTTGGTCCTGCTATTGTGTTTCTTCTTTTTGTTTGGAAATTTATCTTGATTTATAAAAAATGTTTAGAAGCGTAACGTTTCCTGTTCTTGTTTGTTTCCTGTTCCTGTTAATTTCCTGTTCCTGTTTGTTTCCTGTTTTTTTTGTTTCCTGTTCCTGTTTGTTTCCTGTTCCTTTCCTGTTCCTGTTTCTTTCCTGTGCCTGTTCATTTCCTGTTCCTGTTTCTTCCCCTTGTTTGTTCATTTCCTGTTCTTGTTTGTTTTCTTTTCATGTTTGTTTCCTGTTCCTGTTCATTCCTTTTCCTGATTGTTTCCTGTTCCTGTTCATTTCATGTTTCTGTTTGTTTCCTGTGTTTTTTCATTTCCTGTTCCTCTTAGTTTCCTATTCCTGTTTGTTTCCTGTTCCTGTGTGTTTCCTGTTCCTTTCCTGTT